AATCGTTCATCAGAGATATGAACCAAACAAGGGTCAAAAATAGCTCATTTGGCAATGCATTTTTCTCTGTCCAGGCTCTTTCAATATATTTAAATTTTTTTTGTTTGAAAGAGCATGTCAGGATGCAGTGCAGTACAGAGTCCTTTTTTTTAAAATTATTACCTTTTAAGCAGAGAAAAAGGCTGACAAGCTCAATGACTCAAAAAACCCCTAAAAATGGTGGTCTATTTATATAAGTGGTTGTATATTTAATAAAAACAAGCTTAATTTAAAAAAGGACTCTATACTGCACTGCATCTTGATGTGCTCTTTCAAACAAAAAAAATATATAAATAGATTAAAAGAGCCCGAACAGAGAAAAATGGATTGCGCGATGAAGAAAGCATAAACTGAGAAAAAACGAAAAATATTTTTCGTTTTTTTTTAAAATAAGAAGATTTTTCAAGAAGAGGTTAACGAAGATCATCGAAAATTTTGACCAAAAAGGAGGTGTCAAAGAAAAAATAATAGTGTTTCTGAAAGAGCAGAAGACGGGCTATCTTCCCATGCATTTATCTCAATTTTGACGATTTTGATGAAAACGAACTTTTTTTGAGGGGGAAGGCCTTAATTCGATTTTTTATACTCTTTAAAAAGCTCTTCTAAAGCGTGACTACATAAACTTTTTCGAAGTGCTTAAAAGCATCTTCCATATAGCAGCTAATTATAAGTAATTGTCATCTACAAGATGTTTTTTGACGAGTTTGTACAAAAATTGCAAATTCACTGTGTGAGTGATTCTCCTTATTTCTTGTCTCATTTCATATATAAGCATGTATTAAATGAAAGTCATACATCATTCGAAAGAGGAGAAATTTCCTATTAAATGATACCAAAACATTTTTTCTGCACGTATCTACCGAAGGGATATAAAGATCGACGTTTTGTGCCACATTTTAACAAAAAGTATGGAAGCTTTTGAAAGGTGTCTTTCTTCTTTATTATGTTGTTTCATTTGTAGGCGTAGTATAACAATAAATGATATACCATTCGAAAGAGAAGAAAAAGCGCTATGTTTTGGTAAAAAAATTTTCTTTCAGCGTCTTTCTATTGAAGTGAAATACTGATCAACATTTGGTGCCATTACTTTTGCATCGTACGTTACATTTCCATGTAGTTTAGGCAATTTTGATAATCAAACGTTCATAATTCCCAAAATTGATAGATTTTATATATATCGTTCATTAAGAACCTCTCTCGAAAAACTTGATCTATGGATATAAGTCTGTTTATTGGTAGAACTTCTATACTGTTTTCTACCCAATAAGACAAAAGTGTACAATAAGTAGATAGATAGTTAAAAGAAATTTGATTTTTTTTCAGATTAAAAGATGCCTACGGTGTTTCTAATCGATTGTTCATTGGGTATGGCAGAACGTTTCTCATATGTTATAAGTCAATGGGATAATATGACAACAACGATAAATATCGAAAAACGTAGTTTAGTTGCAAAAATGATCGAATCATTAATGACTAATACTAATAGTTTAACAAAACTTGAAACAATTGCTCTTGTGAGTTTATCTTTTATTTCATTAAATCTAATTATTTTTCTCCTATCTTATTCAAGGTACTCTTTTCTGGTCCAGGTACAATTAAAATTACGCAACATTTTACAAAGAAGACAGAGAATATTATTAAATCTGTTCAAAAATTACCTATTTTCGGCGATTTTTCTTTATAACCAGCGATTGATTTTGCTAAAAAATTTCTAACAACAACATTCGGTACACAACGTTCACAAAAAGTCTGTTTCATAACGTTTTCTTCTGAAAATTAACTTCGATTTTAAAAAAACTTTAACATTTAGATTTTGGTTTTTACAGATAGTTCTCATCGTGATGATAATTTGACTATAGAAAATAATAATAATAATAATAATGCAATGGATATAGATTTACGTAAACAAATAATAAATGATGAACAAGAAAAAATATCATCATCTAATTCACATACTGAAGTATCATTTGTATGTATACGAAAACCATCAGGAACCGATCGAGCACGATTAGAAAATATCAGTGAACAAGCTCAATGTTCTTTATCAAAAATTTACTGGTTAATAAATCGTGAAAAAGAGAATAATACAATAATTACAAATGAAATGATTCAAGATGTAATCACTCAAATCAAAGCTGATATGTTACACATTTTCATCTCAACACTTAAATGTGATCATTATGAATCTCAACTTACTGTTTATTCAACAATTAAACCCGCTGTATTGTAATTTAATATTTTCAATTGAATATCAACAAATTGTTTTTAAAATTATTTTATTTAGACATACAACAGGTGAAATATTTCATCCATCAAATACTTTAACAGTAAATAGCTTTATTGAATTATCATCAATACATAGTGCTAGGGCAACATCTAAACATATACATCTACCAATTCAATGTTATACTCGACCACAATCAGCAATGCCAATGTTTGCTACAAAAAAATCTGCTGTTGTATTATCATCATCGCCAACAACAACCACAAGTTTTTCATTAACTAATCAGAAAAAATCCAATGCAGCAAATAATTCCTATTATCTTTTACTAATATCATTAAAAAAAGAAATATCAGCTGCATTAATTTCTGTCAATGATCAATGGTATGGTACAATACATTGTCAAAAATTTGAACGAAAGAAAAAATCAAGTTGACTTATTCTATCGGTATTTGAACCCGGTGATTGTATTCCATGGATTTCTAGTTTTGAACGTCTTGGACCTTATGCTCATATATTTCCACCGGGAAATAATGGTGAATTAGTATATAAAAAACAACCATGGCCAGTAAAACCATTTGCTCGAAGTTATACAGAAACATTTCTAATCTGGTGTCGTCAAAATAATTTTCAAGTAAATGTTTCATATTTATTAAAAAAAAAACAATCATTAATGAAATAATCGAATTTTTATAGAATGATATCAATAAATTTGTTAGTGCTTCAGCTAAACTACCTAATAAAGTCAATATTTTCTATAGGGTGAATATCATTATTATTGATTTTAAGTTCATCTTTCAAATAATGAAACCTATAAGAATGGAAAAAAGAAATCCTCTCTTTTTACATCTATTGCGAGTGGTAGAAGGTGTTGCTAAAGTAGTTCTTCGTTAACAAAATATTTTTCCAACATCAGATAAACTCCGAGAGAAGCCATCTATCTCCTACTAGTTGCTATTGGTAATTTTGATCAATAGAACAGTCTGATGCAGAATTCTGACGTATAATATTCTTGAATTTTTTAATACATCCTTTATTGGTCAAATATTAATTACAGAATGTCTTATCGATTATCAGCAACCATGTCCAGTATTTTCCATATTCCGAGTTCCGTTCGTTCCATTCGGAAGCTGATTCGAAATATACAAATGAGACCTTCAGATTATTCCACTGAACTTTAACTTTGAATAAAATGAATTTCTAAAAGATAATTTTTCTCATTTGTGAATATTTTTATTTAGGAATTGAATAAAATATGTCGTGGTGCATTTATATATGGACTTCGTGAGCGATTATTTCGTTTATTGCAACAATTATTTCAACGTCAAATTCAAATGGGTAAAATGAAACCGGATGGTATTAGATACGTTCAAAATGTTATTAATTATATGAATCGTCTTAGTTCATCAGATCGTTTCATTAAATATGAAGAAACGTCGTCTTAACAGGGACGTAGCCAAGGGGTGGATTGGGGGATCGATTCTCCCATGAAAAATACAAATACCTGGAGAGGAGTACGATCGATCAAATTTTACCAGCCAAAAAACAGTTTTTCTATATGGTGATCCTCCTAAAACAGTCAATCCTCTCATTGAGAAAATTTCTGGTTACGTGCCTGCGTCTTAAATAAATTTATTTTCTGTTCTGTATAGATAAAATCTAAATTGTTCATTTTATTTCAGATTTAAAAAAGAAAATGTCAAAGGAAAGTGAATATTTTCCTCGTGGTTCATCAACAAATAAAACCGAAATAAAATCACAAAAATCTCATAATAATCATGTTGATCATGATGATTTATTTATTAGTACATCATCCAAACGAAAACGTTCACATGATTCACAAAAACGCAAAGAAGAACAAAAGAAAAAAAAGAAAAAATCTCTTGATGGTGAAGATCGTCATGAAACATTATATCGACGATTACATAAACAAGTTTGTTCATAATTTTTAACTTCATAGAAAACTCTTCTTGATTTTTTTCTTCATAGAATCTCACTGATGGTGTTCTTATCTGTGGTTGTATTGAAAAAATAGCTCCATATGAATTACGCGTTAGTCTTCCACATCAAAATATTGGTTAAATTCCATTAACAATGATATCTGATGAATATACTGAATTAATTCAAGAAAAAATGTCATCAATGTCAACTCATAATGAAGATGGTTTAGATAATTTATTTCATCTTGGTCAATATGTTATTTGTCGTGTTATTGAAAGTCAATTAATAAATGATAATGAAAAAATCAATCAACAAAAACGTTTGCGTCTTTCAATTAATCCTAAAGATGTTTGTGATCAAATTACACCCGATAAACTTGTTAAAGGAATGGTAATGAAATCAAATAAAAAATTGAGATCAAATCATTTTTATTTATTTTTTAGATTTTACCTGGTGTTGTATCGAGTATTGCTGATCATGGATTTATTATTAATATTGGATTTTCACAAAGAAAAGGTTTTTTACCAAAAAATAAATATTTAAATATCGGTAATTTAACATTTTTGTAATTTTTTGTTTAATTTTATTATTTATTTGTTTTGTTTAAGATCAATTAAAATTTGGTTTTCATGGATTATTTCAAATAAAAGAATCATCAACAACTAATTCTCGTATTATTCTTTGAAATATTATCGATAATAGAAAACCACGACCGGTATATACATTAATTCAACAATTTCTATCTAAAGATATATCTTGTTTTTTAAAGGCATTATCACCGACAAAATTACCTTTTCATATGCTTTTACCTGGTCTTAAATGCAAAGTGACTGTCGATAAAGTAATTTTGATCAACAACGAAATTCATTTTGCTAATAATTAGTTATTATTTAGACTCGTGTTAATGGTCTTGAAGTATCATTTGGTGAAGTTAAAGGTTTTATTCATGCACAAAATTTCCCAACTTTAAAAACTTCTATTGATGATTTCTCTCCTGAACAAGAAGTAATTTGTTCTCTGATTTAAATCGAATTAAAATTCCTTGTTTTAGTTGGAAGCAACAATTCTATCAATTGATCCAACAACAAAATTAATTCATTATTCAATACAACCACATTTCTTATCATTAAATTCTCCACCATCAATTCTTGATAATACAATTATTGGTTCGATTCAAACATGTACCGTTATTCGAAATATTGGTTCATTACTTGTTATTCGAATTCCATCATTAAATCAATATGAAATTGTTTCATCAAGTCAATTAACTGATGAAAAATATGATGATATTCAACAAATATTAAATTCATTTAAATCAGGACTAAAAATTCAATATGATATTCAGTCATATTTGATTTTTATCATTCATTTTATTTTATTTAGATGTCGAATTATTGGGATTTCATTAGCAAGTAATTTAGCAATATGTAGTTTAAAACAGTAAATCGAAAAAAAATAAAATAATAAATATAAAATTTATCTATATATATAATGTTCAGTGTGTGTGTGTGCGTGTGTGTGTCTGTGCCGGGTCAAAGGTCAAGGGTCAAAGGTCAAAGGTCAAAGGTTAAAGGTCACATAAGGCTATAAGGGGAGATCTCCAGGGACTATGTATGGGGTACTTATAGGCCCTCAAGGACTCTCCTATGGGGGACCCATAGATCCCCAAGGGCTATTATGTGGGGGTACCCATAGGTCCCCAAGGGCTATCCTAGGGCGGTACCCATAGGTCCTCAAGGGCCACCCTAGGGTGGTACCCATAGGTCCTCAAGGGCTATCCTATGGGGGCACCCATAGGTCCTCAAGAGCTATCCTATGACGCTACCCATAGATCCCCAAGCGCTATCCTATGGGAGTACCTATCGGTCCTCAAGGGCTATCCTATGGGGGTACCCATGGGTTCTCAAGGGTTATTATGTGGGGGTACCCATAGATTCCCAAGGGCTATTATGTGGGGGTACCCATAGGTCCTCAAGGGCTATCCGATGGGGGTATCTATAGATCCCCAAGGGCTATTATGAGGGAGTACCCGTAGGTCCTCAAGGACCATCCTAGGGCGGTACACATAGGTCCTCAAGGGTTATTATGTGGGGGTACCCGTAGGTTTTCAAGGGCCATCCGATGGGGGTATCCATAGATCCCCAAGGGCTATTATGTGGAGGTACCCGTAGGTCCCCAAGGGCTATCCTATGGGGGTACCCATAGGTTCTCAAGGGTTATTATGTGGGGGTAGCCGTAGGTCCCCAAGGGCCATCTTATGGGGGTACCCATAGATCCCCAAGGGCTATCCTAGGGCGGTATCCATAGGTCCTCAAGGGCTATTATGTGGAGGCACCAGTAGGTCCCCAAGGGCTATCCTATGAGAGTGCCCGTAGGTCCTCAAGGGCCATCCTATAGGGGTACCCATAGGTCCTCAAGGACTATCCGATGGGGGTACCCATAGGTTCTCAAGGGCTATTATGTGGGGGTACCCGTAGGTCCTCAAGGGCTATCCGATGGGGTACCCATGGGTTCGCAAGGGCTATTATGTGGGGGTACCCGTAGGTCCTCAAGGGCCATCCT